GGTATTTCAAGCACTTCCTGTGTCTGTTTGCCTCTTTAAGAAGAATCGCTTTATGTATTCCCCAATTGTAAGTCGCTTTGGATAAAAGCGTCGGCAAAATGACTAAATGTAAATGTAAATGCTAGTTCCAAAGCAGGGGGCACAAGATGATTAAAAAGTTATATTAAAATAATACTAGGCCTATATAATCTGACAAGTAATCTATTGTCATTTTAATGTGTCCCCTCAACAGCTTGTTTTTGTTGAAGGACATATGTATGTATATATATATATATATATATATATATATTCCTGCTGAAAAGACTCCACCTCAGATAAACATAAACTTCCATGCTCTCTGCTGTTTTGCACAAGATGATTAAAAAGTTATATTAAAATAATACTAGGCCTATATAATCTGACAAGTAATCTATTGTCATTTTAATGTGTCCCTTCAACAGCTTGTTTTTGTTGAAGGACATATGTATGTATATATATATATATATATATTCCTGCTGAAAAGACTCCACCTCAGATCAACATAAACTTCCATGCTTTCTGCTGATTTGAAGGTTGTCTTGTTGATGGGCCAGCATGGAAAAATAGCTGGTTGACTTTGGTAAAGTCACTTAAGGGCAGGCGGGAACACAGCATCCCATGATGGGGATCAACAAATTAAAATAGAGAGCAACAAAGTAAATGATTAAAAGCAAAACTAAAATCTGAGCATATAAAATAAATATAAATAGCTAAAAGATATGTTTTGGGATTTCATTTAAATTCATGTTGACAGGCTTCAGGTCTATTTATGTCTGTCAGTCCCAAATCCTGATGTCAGGAGACCACGTCCCTCATGTACACTGAGTGTTCTCTGCTTCTGTTCTTAGTTAGCACTTGCATGCTGCAGCATTTTGCTTACTGTTGGATTTTAGGGAAGACCGTAGAGGAAAATATTACTGAGATTCAGCTTGTATTGTATTTTAAAAAATAATAAAAATCATTACCCTTAACAATAGCGCTAAAAACAAAATTTGGGGGTAAAGGTCTAAAAATATTAAATATCATCTTAGTTGACTTCTTATCTTTCAAAATATAGTGATGGTTAATGGTCAATTCTCACAGGCTGCTGACTGCCCTGGGCTTCATGTTGAAAGGCCCAGTGCCAGAAAAAAAAAAAAAAAGCACTGCAAATGTAACATTGATATTGATCGAACAGTGCCTGAATGTGTGCCAATGACTGTTGGCATGGTGTAAAATCAACAAAGAAATAAAAAATGTAATTTATTCCAAGCTCTAATATTGCTTTCTGGATGCCTTATTGCAGTTGTGTACACTATTGTTGTGACTGTTACAATTTATTAAACACATGGTGTGTTTGGCATTGTAATTGAGCCTTTAGTTATCGCAATCACTATTTCATTTCTTGTATTTGCTATGCAATTTCTCATTATTTGGAAATAACTTTGCAAGATATGACAGTAAGACAACAATAATTAATATTTTTTTGTAAAGCAATTTTCGATAAGCCATATTTGCAAAATTTAAAGTTGGAATTGCAAGGACAAAAAAGAAGAAGAATTCTGTGTATATCAAGAATTGTCATTATCATTTGAAGTTACCACTACAGTAAATAAAACTGCAATGGTAGGATATGTTAAAATTAAAATCTAATAAAATTTTCTTTGTTTCCTTTTGGTGAAAATGGTATGGGACATCACTGAAAGATGAATTATGTTTTTATTTATTTATATATTTTTTATATTGT